GGGGGGGGGACTTTGATGGAGGGCTCAGAAACCCAGAGAAAAGCTGCTTTTTGCAATGAATAGGGATCCTCTTGGAGAAGGTTTCTGGGGACTGAATCATCACCATAGATGAGGACTGTGATATCTTACCAAACTTCTTAGGAGCTCTCATTGAGCCCTACCCACAGCTCCCAGAGGCTGTTTGCCACCACCCTGCTTTGGGCCCCGTTTGCTCTCCTAGGCCCAGAGGCTCACCCAGGAACTGCTGGTACTGCTGCACCTGGGCGCTGATGTCTGATAGTCCTGTGCTCTGCTGCTGGCCTACAGCCACACCATTGGTCATGCCTTCCATTTTCTGGATAGGCTTAAGCCTGAAAGGGAAGAGGCATGCAGGCCAGTTCATGGAGGGAGGCCCCAATGCACCCTGCCCTGCCTGTTCCACTGGGGATCCAGCCCCGCCCTCCTACCTTTGCTTCTGTGAGAAGGGCTGGCCCCGCATGGCCATGTGCTGCTGGTCCTCCATCAGCCGCAGCAGGGGTGAGCTGGCCTTGATGCGCAGGCCATAGTAGTGGTACTTGGAGTTGCCCCTGGAAAGGAGATAGTGGGGAAGGGAAAGGCCAGGCTGGGGGTATCCACTGGCTAGCTATAGGGAACTTCATGCCACACCTGCCCCCACTCAGCTAGGGGACTGAATGGAGATACCCCTGTTGTGCAAAGCCAGGAATGCTAGGCTGGGGACACGCATGGGCTGGCGGTGTCAGGAAAGATCTAGTACCTTGCCTATGGTAACGAATGAATAAATGAATGAGGTGATGCCCAAGCTGGGAACTGGAACTGAGAGATGAGCAGGGGTGAACCTGGAAAGGTGTGGGGATTGCCAAGGAGCAGAAGAGAGAAGTAGGTTCATGAAATGGCTCCTCATCTCTCCTGACACAATTTGCTGGTTTATGGGCCCTGAGTAAGCACTAACAGTGAAGCCCCCACATCCTCAAGTTATATGCATTTCAGACAAATCAAAAAGAAGTACCATAAAAGGCACATTAGACAGTGGTTAAAGCTAAGGAGAAACATGAAGCAGGAAAGGAGGAGGAAGGCTGAAGTTTTAGTTAAGGCATCTGAGTAAGGAGGTAGGGAGAAACACACAAGCTGGAGGGCATAGCCAGTGTAAAGGTCCTGGGGTAGGAATAAGTAGATAAGTCAAAGGAGCCTCCAAAAGGCCAGTAGGGGTGGAGTGGAGTGTCCCAGACAGCCTGAGCATGCCCTGTGAGCCCCCAGGGCTGTTGGGGATAGACAGGCAGCTCTACCTGGTGCCCAGACGGCGGGTGCGCAGACCCATGAAGACGGAGCGGATAAGCTTGCCAAAAGAGGCGGCATTCACAGGCTCCAGTTTCTGCTCCTGGCAGTGCAGCAGGTAGTGGCAGTAAAGGGTGCTCCGTGGCAGGCTCACACCCTCAGCTGTCTCATAGTTGTCCAGGAGCCACTGGACCTGGGGCCGATGGGGGGACAGAAGTGTACCATGAAGAATCACTTTCATGTCTTGAGTGCTATGGATAAGTGCTCTGTATCTACTTCCCTTTGTGATCCTGAGTCAAGCCATAAGGCACATCCTATTGTAATTCTCCCAGGAAACTACCTCCCATGGGACTCTAAAACTGTACTGTCCAACACAGCCAATATATGCAGCTAGTTAAATACAAATTTATATTAATGTATGCTGAGCAAAAAAAGCCAGTCTCAAAAAAAAAGTGCCAATCTCCAAAGGTCACATGGTGTACGATTCCATTCCTAGAACATTCTTGAACTGACGACATTATAGAGATGGAGAACAGATTCCTGGTTGCTAGGAAGTTGAGAGGGAGGATGGAGGAAGTAACTGTCAAGGGATACAGGTGGCAGATCTCTGCAGCTATGGGATAGGACAGTTCTGTATCTTGGTTGTGGAGGTGGCCTCCTAATTGATAGACCCTATGAAAGACTCAGAAGTAAAACACACATTGTACCAATGCCAGCTTCCTGGTTTAGATGCTTTACTATACAGTTACATAAACTGTAACAGCTATATATACTACCGTGTTTCCCCAAAAATAAGACCTACCCAAAAAATAAGACCTAGCAGGATTTCTATGCATTTGTTAAATATAAGCCCTACCCTGATAATAAAACCTAGTGGTGGGTCATTTCGGCTAGGAGAGGAAGACGTCCTCTGAAAATAAGCCCTAGTGTGTCTTCTTGGGAAAAAATAAATATAAGAACAGTGTCTTATTTTCGGGGAAACACGGTACACAGTTCTGCAGTGTCCCCAGCCATGTTTCAAGTGCTCAATCACCACATGTGGCTTAACCATCCTATGGGTAGTACAGGGAGAAAACACTTCCCTCATCAGAGATTATTCTGAATATTCTAAATATTGAACAGCAGTAATTTATTTTTTTTTTTTTGAGCCAGAATCTCACTTTGTCACCCTCGGTAGAATGCCATGGTGTCATAGTTCACAGCAACCTCAAACTCTTGGGCTCTAGTGATTCTCGTGTCTCAGCCTCTTGAGTAGCTGGGCTTACGGGTGCCCGCTGCAACAGCGGGCTATTTTTAGAGACAGGGTCTCACTCTGGCTCAGGCTGGTCGAAAACCTGTGAGCTCAGGCAATCCACCCATCTCAGCCTCCAGAGTAGGGGGACTAAGGGCACCCACCACAACTCTTGGCTCTTTATAGGGTCTTGCTCTGGCTCAGGCTAGTCTTGAACCCAGGAGCTCAGGCAATTCATCCACCTGAGCCTCCCAGAGTGCTAGGATTATAGGTGTGAGCCACCATGCCCGGCCTTAGAATAGCAGTATTCTAGTGCAGTTTTTGAACTGGGGTGAGAACCCAGTAGGGGTGATGACCAGCATTTAAAAAAAAAAAAAGAGTAAGATCAGAAGCCAGGAGGCAGGTGTGGTGGCTCATATCTGTAATCCCAGCACTGGGGAGGTCAAAGCAGGAGGATTGCCTGAGCTCACAGGTTTGAGACCAGCCTGAGCAAGAGCGAGACCCCTGTCTCAAAAAAACAGCTGGGCGGGCTTGGTGCCTGTGGCTCAAGTGGCTAAGGCACCAGTCACATATACCTAAGGTGGTGGGTTCGAATCCAGCCCGGGCCTGCCAAACAACAATGATGGTTGCAACCAAAAAAATAGCCAGGCGTTGTGGCAGGCGCCTGTGGTCCCAGCTACTTGGGAG